TCACCCTGGTGTTTGGGGAGCTTGCAGCCACGTTGTGAAAACCAAGTGCCTTGCGCGTGTGGACCCAAAACCGGGAGCTTTGGCGTGAGGCCGTATACAAGGCAGTCTATGCCAGCGACCTTCCCACAGCGGCAGGAGGAGGTTGTGATGGTGGATGCCACAGCCACGAGGGTGCCGGGCTGGGACGAGCTTGTGGCGCGCTGGCCTGTGGGCTCTGTGGCTCCTGCTCGGCTGGCTCGGGGCATGGAGGAGTGCAGCGGGAAGGACGTTACGCGGGAGAATATGCATGTTCACAGCTCAGAGGATTAAAGGCCCGTGTTCTTATCACTGCAGAACAGAATATTATAAATCCAGTCTTAGAATACCAAATCCCCTCGTGGCTTGGCCATTGTTTGGGAATATTAAAAAGCTCTGAGACAGAAATAATCAGTTTCCGAATGACACACTGTCAAATAAAACATTTCTCATATTATCCCTTCCTTCCCCTTTCTCTCTCCCGCTCCCTCTGTTGGATAATTTAACATGAAAAATAGATTAAAATGAAGCTGGCTTGAATGCTTCCTAAGTTTGACTCTTTTTTTTTCCCCAGGAAGCTCTCCCTCTGTGTGTGTGTGTTGTGTTTAAACAAGCGGCTGCGGGCGCAGGGTCGGGGGCGAAAGGATCACGGTGAAATTGAGCTGCCCTCGAAAGACTGATGACTGCTCACCTAAGGGACGGGCAGAGGAGAAGGAGCAGGCACCGGCAAGGTTTCTGTGCCGCTGCCTGCAGATATTGCAACCAAACCTGTGGGACTCGTGTAATCCCATCTTGCAGTATGGCCAGAAGAGCTGTGAAATAGAGCCTGGAGCAGAGAGTGAGGGCTGTTGTAGAGGTGGCTGGTAGCGAAGGCTGTGCTGGCTCGGGGAAGTTTGTGTGGGATTTGCCTTCTCTGTGCTTGCTTCTTCCATGAAATGCTACAGCACCGAGACCTCCCGCTTGTTGTCCCAATGCCCTGTAGGGTGCAAGAGCTGCCTTTGAGGCTTTCTGGTGGGTAGCAGCTTGGATGGCAACTTTGACGTATTTGAATTGACCTTGTCCTCTCCAATGACTAGTGTGGACTCCAGGCTGGAGGAGGGAACAGCAGGCTACTATCATCCGTGGCTTTGGGCCTGTGAAATTTCTGAGCAGAGAGATCTCATCGGGGCCCCCATCTAATAGGTTGATGGTTTTACTCACTGTGGTCCAGGCTGTTACCCCATGGGCAAACACAGCGTTGATCTAGCCAGCCAGCTGCACAGCCCCTGGCACTTCCATGAATGGCCGTGAACCATTTCGTGTGTGATCTCTTGTTGCTTGGGTCTAGCTGGCAAAGGTGTTCCTCATGGCAAGGCTTTCTGGAGTTGTCCTGGTCCTTTCTAAGTCTCCAGGTTTTCTGCAGTCCTGATTCACCACGGAGGTCAAATGCATGGTTACCTGAGACTGTGGAGAGGAGAAGAGCAGCCCTTGTCTGCTCAGCAGCCGCTTTGCAGTTGTGAAGAGCATCCAGGAGTAAGTGCAGCCAGGAGGCTTGGTGTTATGGCTTTTCCCAGTAGTTGCGTTAGTTTTGTTGTTGTTCTGAAACACTTCTCTAACGTCAGAGCCCTAACTCAGTTATAAGTGCACTGGCACAGAAGACGGACCTAATTTTGCAGTGTGGTTTGTTTTATTGACGTTCATGGCCCTGCTATGTCATGTGTAACTGGATCTCCCTTTCAGAGAGTTTAGTGTGCAGCCGTTTCTGTCAGGCAAACAAGACTTCCAAGGAAATGACCCAAATTTGGTGCTGTGTGGGGTGCAGGAACCCCCTGGACTGAGGCACCTGAACTGCTTTATTCTGACTTTTCCAGCAGGCGCTGTGTAGTCCAGTATGATTTCTTCTCCTGGACCGATGGCTGCAGAAGGCCTGTGTGGGATGCAGCGATGGAGGGAGATACCCAGGACTTGTGCTTAGACTGTATGTGGCTTGGATGGTGGAAGCCCTCTGCTAAAACATGTCACACTCTGTTGTGGGAAAGCTTGGCATTGGAGCAGGAGGGGGTAAAGCAACCTACCTGGGTTTCCAACCAGATAGAAGGTGTCTCTGTCTGCTAGGCTCTCTTTGCTGTGCCCAGACCCCATACTGGGGCAGTGGGAACATCCTTTGTTTGCATCTCTTCCTACTCCTTTCCAGCTGATGCAAGTACATGAAATCTAAACTTGTGCTTCCTCTTCACGAGGCTTCCTGCTCTGGATGTGCTCTAGCTATTTCTGGGGGAGGGGACCCATGCAAGAGGGAGATCTACTGCCAGCAAGCTCTGTAGCACATAGCGGAAGGAGGCTGGTGTGTCTGTGGTCACCCCATGTTACTGAGCTATTGGGAGATGTGTCCCAGTCCTGGTCTAGGGTCTCCTTGCATCAGCACTGCTCAAACCGAAGGAACTCCATTTCCTTTCAATTAGCTTGAGGTGTCCTTGCTGACTCTTGCTTCTGAGCACAGAAGGCCAGGTAGGATCCTCATCGAGGATGTCTTTTAGGTGCCCGAGTCCTGCAGATAATGATCCTCAGCGAGCCCTGCCCTTCTCCCCGGTAGAGATCCCTGAGCATCTCCTCCTCGCTCAAGTGTTATGTGTCTTGATGGAACGTATCAGCTAAATTGGGAAAGTCAAGCTCAGCAAAGTCATCATGCCTCCCTGAGCCCTTCTTCCTATTAGTGTCAATTACGGGGCCAAATGAGAAAACAGATGAGCATGGGGAGGGGAGAGGAGAAGGATCCTAATGAGAGATGACGAATTGGCTTTTGTTAGCTTGGTTTCTGCAGCAGATCAGAGGCTCGTGCTTCTGGGATGGGGCAGGGGAACTGTGTCCCCTCCTCCTGGCTCCCTGCCCTTCCTGGGATCCTTTGCTGCCCCTCAGCTGCTGCTTCCTCTGCTCCGGGCTGTGGAGCATGGCACAAGCACTGAGACTGGAGCGTTTGCTCTGTGCCCATCGCTTGTTCTGGGGTGATAACCCTCGGAGCCCGGGAGCCTGGCAACAGAGTGCATGTTGTGACGCACTTGTGTGCAGCACGGCGTCATGTCACGCTCGGCTCTGCGGGATCACTGGATGAGCGCCCATCCCTGCGGCCATGTCCCTTCCCTCCCACGGGAGTCCAGAGCGGTGAGACAAGTGGGAGCCTGGCCCAGCTGCAAATCGATGCAGGGGCTTTTCGGGGTGCGTTACCAGCCCTGCCGTGATAGACGGTGAGGGCACAGCTGAGTCAAGCGTGGCTGCGTTTTGCTAGAACCCGCTCAGAGCAAGGGCAAGCGTCAGGCCAGGCAGGAGCAGCGAACGTGACTGCAGATCCATCCAGCTGCGGCTATCTGAGGGCCTGGACCCCCAGCTAACTCATCCTGAGAATTGCAGTTTTCAATGCCAGCTCTTTATAGATGATCCTGTTTATGAGTCTGAGCTGTGCTCTGGGTATGTCACAGTTATTTGAATTGAATGCAGATGAAATATTTTCAGTTCTTTCTTTTGCTTTTGCACACTCTGTAAAGTTCCCGAATATGGCATTCTTTGTGCCAAATAAATGCCTGCCCTACTCTGGCAGTTGCATGTCACGCTGTAAAGCCCCAATTGCTCGTGCCGCTCCGGATTCACATGCCCTGCTTTACTGATTTGCCACAGGATAAAATTGCCTAGGTGCTATGGGGAGATTGAGCGGCTTGAAGCTAGCAAACACACATCTCTTGCTTGTGTAGGGGGTGAGAGAGATTGTATCTGTATTAACTTTCAGAACAGTCAGAACCAGTGGCAGCGTCCTTCAGTGCTACCCAGCCCATCTCTGGTGGGAGGAAAGACCACTTCTACGGAGCCGCAGATATTTGGGAAGCATTTCTCTCCCTTCTCTCTGGTGATAATGCAGTTGTAAGCTGCATCTACTAAAATTTGGAGATGGTAGAAGAGGAGAGTTTTGCAGAGAAGGTCTCGGACGGGAATATGTCATGTGTGCGCTGTGTCCTTAGGTCTGCCACTAACTTCTCATGTAACCTTAGGCAAATCACTTTATTGTTTTACAAAGCAAAAAATTGCACTTTCGTGCCTCACTTGGAAGATTGTGAGGATGCATCTAGCGACGCTCCAAGGTATTCAGCGACCTGATGGTGAGCAAAAGCTTTGGGTGCAGGTTGCAGATAGGCGGTGCTCAGAAGATGGGCAGTGGAGACGGGCAGTGGCGAGCGGACCAGCAGCCGGGGCGTCAGACTGAAGCTCAGGGCTCTTTCCTGCTTGTGCTCTGTTGCTCTGGGCAAGTGTGACCTTAATACGTTACCCAGCCACATCTGTTCTTGGTTTTAGCTCTCCTGCAGCTTTGTCATCATTTTTAGGGAGGAGAGACAGCTGTCACAGCCTGAAATGAGACTTTAGGGGCAGCCATGCCCTGGGGAGCTGCAGCTGTGTTATGATTTTTTTACATGGTCCTTTGTGTGAAATGTGTGTTTCTGCAGAGACTTTAGTGCTCCCATGTTGGTTGGTTGGTTGTTTTAATAAGGTTTTTACTCCTGAATGGTGGGAGGCAGCTACCTTCTTTCCCACCTCCTCATGCAGGGGTGGAGGCGTTGGAGCTAGCATCAGTACTGCTGCACCTTCACCCGTGTGTGGCAAGCCAAGTGGGTTGGTGGAACTGAAGGGGGATTATTGAGAACCAATTCCCTGGAAGACTGGGCAAAATAACTTGGGGCAGAGCTGCGCTGGGGGTTGCTGCACTATCCTGGCCAGTAGGCCTCCTCTGGTTTTGCTGCAGTGCACGCCAGTGGAAGCCCACCCAGAAGCGGCTGCATTTCCCCAGCTTTCCTCACCTACCTGCAGTATGTGGAGCACAGCAGGGTCTGCGTTGATGAAAAGATGTTCTTGAAATGGAAGATGGTGTTTGGATGCTGGTCGCAGCCTCTCCTCACCCATCCCTACCACTTATGGATCAGGCCCACCTGGCTTTCCTGACATTTGCTCTTTTCTCTCTCCTGCAGGGTGGTCTGATTGCTCTGCTCCTGCTTCTGTTAGTCTTCACTGTGGCTCTTTACGCTCAGCGGCGCTGGCACAAACGCCGCCGGATCCCCCAAAAGAGTGCCAGCACGGAGGCCACGCATGAGATCCACTACATCCCTTCAGTGCTGCTGGGTCCCCAGGCCCGTGAGAGCTTCCGCAACTCACGCCTCCAGGCCCACAATTCAGTCATTGGGGTGCCTATCCGCGAGACTCCCATCCTGGACGACTACGAGGATGAGGAAGAGGAGGAGACCCCACGACGAGCAGAACCCAGCACCAGGGAGGATGAATTTGGCAGCCAAGTGACACGAACATTGGAGAGCCTGGGCCGGGGTGGAGAGGAGAAACCTGACTACGAGAAGAAAGGTGTTGATTACTTTTCTTTCTGCTCTTTCCCGCTTTCCATGCCCTGCTGGTCTGTCTGTCCTGTGCAGTGCCACTTGGAGTGGATGGCTCAGTCTGGCTGCGGCTGGCACACAAAGCCCTGGAGGGAACACGCCTCTTGCAGCCTCTGCTGTGCCTGTATAGCCTCTGTGGGACAGATGCTTGGCTGTCCGAAGTGGCAGCCACTGTATGTAAAATCTAGTTGCTCACTCTTGCCCAGTGGGTATTTCAGAGGGAAGGATCCTTCCCTGAGCTTCTTTGGTGTGTTAATAGCTCGGTTGATAGCCCTGCGTGTGAGGGAGCAATATTATCTTCTCCTTAGAGATGACTTCAGCCTGTGCTATGTTCCCATTACAGTTTGAACCCTGCCAGGGTCCTTCACGACTCTTTATGGTGCTTGATGGAGGCAGCGCAGAGGGAGGAGGGTGGTTGTGCAGAAGAGCATGGTTTGGCTTTTGTCCTAAACTTTTATCTTCAAGGAGTTTTGCAGACCTTGTCCTAGAGCTGCCCTCCCTGAGAGGGGAATTAGGTCTTGACAGTGCTGGTGAAACTGAGGCATGGTTAGCTGTGAGCCCTTAGCTATCACTGCCAGCCCCCAAGCCACCAGTCCCCTGGTCTCACAGTACTCCCTTGCTGTGCTTTACTGGTGGGTCAGGTGCTCTAGGAGCTATATGAGTTCTGTGTCTAGGAGCTCCACAGAGATGTGGTTTCCTAGGATTTGGCTTGTCTCCTTCATCAAACTTTCCTGTAAAAATGGAATCTTCCATTTTGAGTGAGAGCCTGCCCAGCACGATGAGATGAGAACCTGATGGCTCTAATTTTGGCTTGGGGCGGCATATCTAGTCATAGTGATGTCAGAGACCGCTTTGAAAATCCCAGAGAGTTATGAGGTAGCCTGCTGGGGGAACAGAGGTGGTATTTCAGGTGTCTAAGCTCTGCATACTCTTAGAGCTCCTGCTAGAATGACGTTGTCTCTAGGAACATGAGTTATTCTTTTGCTGTGTACTTGTACAGCACCTTGCACAGGTTGGCGTGGGATAGTTGTTCCTGGCTGCTCCAACAGCGTTGGTGAATAATTACTCCTGCTCAAACTGTGTGATGTGCTCCTAAACAGGATGGGAACACCAGGAGCCATACTGACTTTTTGCTTTGGGTGAGCGTTAGCACGTGGACATTAATCAGACTGGTCTTTATTCTTTAGGTGGCAGAAACGTTCATTGCTTTGCTGTAGAGCAACATATTAGTTCTAGCAAGCAAATGTTTTGTTGCGATGGGAGGTCTGTGAGCCTGCTGAGCCTTGATGGTCCTTGGAGAGCTGCTCCATAAAGCTCTATTTTCCAGTAGTGGCAAAACATTCCCTGCCTTTTATTCTCTGAGCAATCAAACAAATGATCCTGCAGTCACCCACAAACAAAGTCATCATGGCTGCAGATTTAAGGCACACACATAGAGGCCCTGTAAGGAGCTGGAGATGGCGAATCAGAAACATCTCATGGTGGGGGGAGAACTGTAGAACTGAATCCATATGGATCTGATAGAAATAGATCTTAAATGCGTTCTGTTTCCTGCCCATGGTGTGTGGTATTTAGCCCTGCTGTGGAAGAAGGCATGGCAGGTACAGCATTATATAATATCTATAGGTTAGAATAGAAAGAAGCCTATAAAATTCTGCATACGTGGGTTCTTGCTGCTGATTATTGTAGTATCTGCCAATCCGTCTGGTGCTGACTGTGCTCGTATGGTATAATGTCGGATAATGTCACTGTTGTGAAGGTGTTAATCCTCTGACAGCCATGGGAAGTTGGGCAGTGAGGGCTGGGTTTGAATGTCTGTTCCTGAACCCTCTTCTGAGCAGGTGAGATTGCTGGGAATGCTTTGTGCCTGTGGTCTCTTTGGGGTTCCCCCTCCCTCTTACGAAGGGCCCAAGTGCCCAAGAAGCTGTGTCCAGCCCAGAAATAAAGTAGCTGTGTTAGGAAGCTGGGTCGCTTTGGGTAAAGCGGTCTGATGTTGACAGAGCGAGTGCTGGGGCAGCTGAAGGTTGCATGCAGTAGGACAGACGAGGTTCCTTTGTTCTCACTGTTTGAACGCTTGCACCCGTTGCTGGCGGCACGGGATATCCGGGAGCGGAGGGGAGTCCATATGGCCAGGGCCTTGGCAGTGCTTCTGCAGGCTGCACGAGGGCAGAGGCAAGTAATCTGCTTTCGGGTTGTACAGCTTCTCCCGGGAGAGGAGGAAAGAGACCAAACCACAGCCGACAGATGTTAGCCATGTCTCCTCGTGTGCTACTGGAAGGCGCTCAGATGCTCTAGGAGGAGACCCATGTAGAAGCCTATATAAAGCAGACTAGACTGGCTTCTCTTTATTTAATTGTTCTCTTAACTGCAAATAAAATTCATGCTGCCAGACCATATGGTTCTGCTCTTTGCACTTGGAGCATTGTAGCTTAGAGGGACAGGCTCGGTCTGGGTTGCTCTGACCTTGCCTGTCCGCAAGGGACAAGAGGGCAGGAGGCTGGCTGTGCGGACACAACTAGTGGAGCTTTTCTCCTGCCCAGAGAAGAAAGCACTTTCCCCAGAGTGTTTAGGCTAATGCATGTTTGATTGCCTGCTTTTTTTTTTAAAAGACTGTCTCTCTGAAACTGTAACACCCACCTCTGCTTATTGAAATATCATTAGAAAGCGTTTAACGTTGTTAACCTGCAAAGCGCAGTAAAAAGCGTTCGAATAAACAAAAGTGAGACACGTTAGTTCCAATTGCTGAGCGACTCCAGCTGGCGGGAGGAGGGGATGCGCTGGCTCCCTTCTCGCAGCGACAGGGCTCGTGGGGTGATGCTGGACCATCCCTGCCTTCTTCCCGTGGGTGTGCCTGATGCCCCCGAAGGCAGGGTGATTGGGGTGCTGCTGGGGGCCACTCTGCCTCGGGGCCCGCACGGGGCAGGGATGCGGGACGTGAGCACTGGCTCTGCCCTGCACCGTCGAGGAGACTAGCGGAGCCGGCGAGAGCCGTGAGGATGTACCACGTCTGGAAAGCAGGTCCTTACACTTGTGACAGTCGCCAAGTGGTGTCTGAAGTTGTGTTTTTTACCCATGCATAAAGCACATCTTAGTCTTTCCTGTTGTAAGCCAGGTTGTCGTGATGGTGATGCTTATCATTGCTTAGATAAACGTGGAGGTGCCCAGGAGTCCACCTGCTGCCCCAGAGTGCTGATCTGAGCAGCCGCGTCGGCGTCCGCCTTTGTGTGCGGCTGGCTCTTGCGGGCCTGCGGTGTTAAGAGATGTCTCCCCAACCCTGCACTCAGTGAGAGCGAACAAATGAAAGCCTTCATATATTGTAACCGAACTGCCTTTTTTATTCTTTCATATTCTCTTCTTTGTTTTGCTTTTCTATAAATTATTTAGAATCGTATGAGTGGGGAAGACAGCAGTAACTGCATTTCAGTACTCTTCAAAACATAATAGTAAACAAGATCTAGGGCAGAATATTAAACTCTCCAAGGGCTTTCAGGAATTGGCGATAAAGTACCTTTTATGCTGACTGAAAAATCCCCCCAACCTGGGGCTGCAACCAGTCTCAAGGGCCAGGGTTGCCCACGGACTGCCAGCAGCTGTGAGTTATGTTCACCAATTCTCCCACCAGTTAACCTAATTACTCTGTCATGCTTTGCACCTTGAATTGAGGCAGACTAGAGAAGATAAAACCTTAATGAAACAGGCAAAATAACTCAGAAATTATGGGGATGCCCAAATCTTTCAGAAGACTCCCTGAACGTCAGCTGCTCCTGCAGTTTAGCAACTGTGACCGTAGCCCTGTCTCAGAGAAGGCAGAAGAGGAGCCCTCGAATGGATATGCAAAGCCATGTAGGACTATTCGGTTGTCGTTAACTTTTGTCCATGCAAAGTGGCGTGCTTGAATGCTTTTCTGTTACTTGGAAATTCAGTGGCTGGGGAGTCTCTGGTCTGAACGTCTGTGGCACAACCTAGTCCTGAATTCTAGCTCTTGTCTAACTGCCGCAGAGATGCTCGTGGTGCCTGGCCCGGTGTCGGTCACAGAGTGCTGTGAGACATCTTCATTCCTTTGGTTGAGGAGTGATGCATTCCTGGCACTTCTTAAGGTCAGCCCCATGTGTGTCCTTAGCCCGGTGTCTTTATCACACGTTTGCACCTTTACTGTGTTCTAAATCCTGCTGGCTCACCATGTTTCCTCCTATGGGGTCATCTTCCCACTGTGTGAGGAGGCTCTTCCCAAGCAGCCCAGCATCCTTCTCAAGCATCCTTGAGTTGCTTCTCTCCGTTGAAGGTGGCCGGAGCCTGGTATCTGTAGTCCTGATTGGGAAATTTCAGGCTAGAAATACGAGTGCATGTGCTGTGAGCCCTGCACTCGCACCTCATAACTGATTTGCACGTGCATGGGAAACGCAGTGATTCGGGATGCATGAGATGTACCTTACGCCCAGGCATTTTGACCTGCCTGTGAGCAGCAGGATACAGCTGGGATTCCTGTGAGATTGTGGCAGGTGGGCTGGAGAAACTGCAGCTGGTGTGAGCAGGCACCACACACCTGGAGATCAGTTCTGTTCAGGCAAAATTTTACAGGTGGATAAAAGGTGAATGTGTCTAGGGAAACCCAGTTGGAGGGTGACCCTAGCATAAGGTCTGCCTTTGCCTGTTCTGCCTTCCCTCTATCATCCATCTACCTGCCCTGCTTTACCCAGCCGCTCAGTCAGGAGCCATCAGGTTTCGGTGTGACCCCGTAGGCCAGGCGGGAAACTGCACCAGCTTCCCCGTGGATCAGCTGGTGTCTGGAGAAAAAGCTCTCCTTGCTGCTCTTGCAATGTAGTTTTGTGATAAGACATCGACGGGGACTTGTCAGCGGGCTCCAAATGGCATCATCCTGTGGGCTGTCACAAAAGGCTCTTTCGAGTGTCAATCCCCAGCATTAATTACCAGGGATGGCAAATCTGACAAAGAGCGAGCATTGCCTCC